CTGGAATACAGTTACCATGAAGGACACATGTTACTGGGCATTCTATTTCTAATAATTATAATTATGCTGGAATACTTGCTGCTCTTATAACTGCAACAATCATCTACCAGTTCTTCATTCCAGACCAATAACTTTGCCTGAATGCGCTCTTTGTTCAGGGAAAAAAAAAAAGAGGTAATTCAACATTTCTGGTGACATTCAACAAATCCAGTGTTGAAACTCGAAGACACAGATGAAAGCATTCCAAAGGATACAAGATGGTGCTGGACAGGTGAAAAACCATCTGGCAGCCTCACTCCTGGTAGACCAAAGGACCCTGCCTGTATCTCCCCTCAAAGGGTAAAGGAAAAGGACACCCCTGGGACTTTCAGAAAAGTCATTGAGGCCTGTGTCTCACCTGCATTCCAGGAAGGTAGCTCTGGGCCTGAGGTCCACAGCAGCTGCTGGCCCCGAGGCCAATAGGCACTCTGCTAGGTCCAACTGATAGCCCTTAGCCTTGGCATCACTCTCTCCCAATAAGAACATTTCTTAGGCATGGATTTCTCTTAGGTGCTTTCTAGTTTGTTTCTATTTACAATTACAGAATGTCAAAGATCATGTAGACTCATAACCTTGTTTTATGGATCTCTAAATACAGATGTTTCACACATCTTTTAATCTCTCATAGCAGCTTGCTTATAGGAAATGCATGGGGTAATGAAGGATGAACAGTTACATCAGAACTGATAAACTTTGGATCTAGATCTCTCTCTCTCCCATGTGTTAAAGGCTTGCTCCTCGGTGTGAGGCTATTGAAAAATATTTGTGGAAACCTTAAGAGGTGAACTGTATGGATAGTGTTAGGCCTTTGCGGGGGCTGCCCTTGAAGGGGACTGTGGGACAATGGTCTCTACTCTTTTTTACCTCCTGGTTGCCACGTAGTGAACAATTTTCTCTACCACGTGTTTCTCACCATGATGAACTTCTTTCCCATTAGCTCAAAAGGGATGAGGGCACCTGACCACGGACTGAAAGTCCAAAACTGTGAGCCAAAATAAACCTTGCTTCTGTTTAGGTTGATTTATCTCAGGAATTTGTTACGGTAGCAGCAACCTGATTAACATAATAGTAAAACTCCAGAGTATAATGTTGTGAATAAGTTCTTCCCTTGGAACCAAGAGAGGACACTTATGTCTAAGGGTTTCCATAAAGTTACCTTTCAGTCCTGTATTTTTCTTTGTTTTCTTTTCCTCCTGATACTGCCTCTGCCCAGCAACAAAGAGCACAAAACAAAAAATCCAAGAGGAAAGATTTCTATTTTCCATTAGGAGCCAGGGACTCTGAGTTCTGAAGACAGCCACCTCCTTCCACAAACCCAAAATGGCTAGAATTAATCAGCACTTTCCAAAGATTTAAATTATTTATTTCTCCTCTGGTCCATTCACCAGGAAGATGTTGCTACAACAGCCACATGAGGTGATCAATTCTGGTATCACCATTTTCATATTCAAAATAGCCCTGGGCAGAGTGTAACCTCCAAGCTTGGACCAGAAAAATATCCTTAGAACTTCTTTCTCTTAGAGTAAATAAATATCCCTGATGAAGAAGAGCCCAGTTCATTCCAACAACATATGACAAAGGAAACATGGGCAATGCCAAGTTACTCTGGAGTAACTTTCATTGGCCTTGAGGCTACCATCATGATACTCTGGGGAAAAGGAAAGAACTGGAGGGCAGCAGCGGTAGATGGGTCCCGTTCCATGTCATTCCTTTGGCTGTGTTGCTCCAGGCCTGTTCCTTCCTAGGTGGGTGCTGTGGTGGTTAATCTTGATTGTCAACTTGATTGACTTGAGTGATGCCTAGGAGATTAGTAAAGGGTGTTTCTGAGTAGATGATGGGAAGATGACCTTGAGGACTATATCTGGTCCTTGTGTCCTTCCTGTCTGCTTCTTCCCCTTCTCTCTGCTTCCTGGCTGCTGTAGCTGGAGCAGCTTGCCATTATGTCCTTTTGTCAGGAGCTTTCTGCCTTGGCACCACTGACCATCGAGTGAAACTGTGAGCCAGAGGAAACATTTCTTCCTTTAAGTTGTGCATATCAGGTATTTGGCCACAGTGAAGATGAAAACTAATACGGGGGCCCTGGCATCAAATCCTCTGTGAGGCTGTGTGTCCCAGCAGATTTTGCCTGTGCCAGACATTGAAGAAGTCTTGAGTTAGCTCCCAGTCTGGGTACTTGAAGCTACCTTTTACCATAGAGATCCCTGCATTGCACTTGGAAATATGGTAGGCTCTTGTTTTTGTTCTCTTCTTGTTCTTTTTCTCAACAGCAGATATAAGTTCCTTTTTTATATTTAAGAGAAAGAAACTTGGGAAGAGTGGAACAAATAAAAGAAAGAGCTGAAATGACAAACCTACTTCAGGTAATTAAGTGATTAGGGGCTTTGAAATCCATCAGATAGCTCAATTGTTCTGCATTCATTTTAGTCTTCGGCCTCTCTATGCATCAAACCTCTGGCAGATATACCCACCCAGAAAGCTAGAGAGAGTCTGGAAGCTACACGTCCTGATTCCCATGAGGTTATGTGCAGATTTCAGAAGGAAACCAGGCAGGATGCTTCCTTGGACTATGTCACCTGGTCTTAGGTGAAGGGGAGTCTACCTCTGCTTCTGCTCCTCTACCCAAGATAAAGGTCTGGCTGGGTGGATGAGATCATGTAGCCTTGTACCAGCTCCTCATGTCAGAGGTGTGCCTGATGGCTGTCTGACTCACATCTCTCCTATTACCTTTAGATCCATCTTGTCTTTGTTAGAGAAAAGTAGAGGTGACACATACACAGGAGACTCACTCCTGCTACAACCAAGATGTAACTGCTTTCTTCTCTTTTCCTGCTTATGAATCAGAGCAGCCACTTCTAGCCAGGCAGATTCCTTGCCGGGGAAGAGGGTCTTATGTCTGTGTTTTCCATAATCTCTTCTTTTTTCCATCTGAAACCTGCCAGGATCTTGCTAGAAGTCAAGACAAAGTGACTTTTAGTCTCTCAGTTTTTCAGACTGCTGTATCAGGCAAGGATTTATGTGTGCAAAGGCCCAAAGGTAAAAAAAAAATGTCATTGAGCTATCTACTAGATTTCAAAGGCCTTAAGTTATTTGTCTTGATGGAGATTTTCAGATTTTTGTTTTTTTCTTCCTTGATTGTTCCCTTTGTTCCCCACTCAGTCAGTGTCATTCTCCCCCTCTGATGCCCTCACCACTTCCTGCTTCTGTCTAAGTCTCTGCCCTCTCCCCGCATGAGATTCCTTCGCCATCCAGGCCCAAACCAAGTGGGATTTGGGCTTGGAGTTTCTGTGAGCTACATATAGTTCTCCTGTTCCTCTGCAGTAGGGGAGCCCAGCACAGCAGGTGTGGGGATGGATATGGATCCATCTCCCCTTTCAGCCTCAGACATATAATAGCCTCCCTCCTGCCATTCAGGGTCTGGTCAAAGTTGGGGCTCCTAGTGGACTACAAGTCTGGGTGATAGGGAGAGGGTTGTCATGAGCCCCTCTATTTTCTTCTTGCCCACCCAGTCTCCAGATCTCTGCACCAGGACAGTCCCCTGATTTCTACCTGTGCAAGTATGTGAAGGGGCTGCAGGGTACATCCAGGACTTGGGGTGAGGGGGCAAAGGTGCTAGGCCTGTTTGAGTCTGATGTTGGTTGATAGGGTGCAGGCCAGGCTGGCTGCAGCTCTTCTAGTTGGGAAAGTTGCATGATGTTACCAGAGAACTTATTGGACTCCAACCAATGCTGAATATATTCATAATTACACTTTGGGTATCTATCTTTCTATTCCAAACAACAGCATTCTAAAGCACTCCCTTGTTTAGAACAACTCACAACTCATGCAGCAGTAGGGCCACATAAGCTCATAAGAAACCATAATGCATGGTGTTTTCCAAAGTGTGATATTACAAAGTGTGCTTCTGCCCAGTGAGTGACTTTATTTTTTTACTTTTTTTTTTTTTTGGTACCAGGAATTGAACTCAGGACCTTGCACTTGCCAGGCAGGTGCTTGTGCCACTGAGCTATATCTCAGGCCCCAATTTATTTATTTATTTATTTGAGACAGGGTCTCACTATGCAGTTCAGGCTGGCCTTGAGCTCACTTTGTAACCCAGGCTGGTCTTGAACTCACAACGATCCTCCTACCTCAGCCTCCTGAGTGCTGGGATTACCAGGCATGAGCCACCACACCCAGTTCAGTGAGTGACTTTAAAGTCTTTGCCTACACACTGATATTCTAACAGAGGTCACAGCTTGGGCAGACAGCATTTGCATGTTGGTGATGAAGAGTTTCAAGGCGAAAAATAAGAATGATGAGAGAAAAGAATGGCAACACTTTAACCATGGAATCCACCTCTCCATTGGAGATTTGCAACTAGGGAGCAAAGGATTGAACATCACATTCTCCAGGAGGGCTTGTGACGCCCGTACTAGCCAAGCTCCTCCTGTAGTTTGGTTGAATGGAGTAGGCACCTCTACTTATGCACTTGGGATGCTGTTGCTTTGGGAGCCATATTTGAAGAGCTGCCACTCTGGCTGATATTTCTATCATTCACTCTTATGCCTCTCTTTCCTTTACTAACTTCTCCTTTTTGGTCTCCATTCATCACTGCGATCTTTGCTCTGGGTAACAGAAGAGGAGCCTGCATATAGTTTTATTGTGTACTTACAGTTATCTCTAGGACACTTTCTCCAGCTCTCTGGAATAGTTCTGGAACTTACCTGGTATGAGAAAGCTCCAGCTGGCTGAGTGGCCCAGTTGCCTGTTCATCTATAGCTGAACCACCAGGGGTGACCCAGAACCCGTGACCCAGTAGAAAGTTTAGACTCTTCACTGCTTTCATGAAGTGCCCTCAGGGTCCCCTGGGAAGGAAAGCTTGGTCCTGGGATTTCCTTTGTCTTCTCTTCTTGGGAGAGGGCCTGCCTTTGTGCCCCAAGCTCACAGCAAGGGGTGCCACTATCTGCACATTGGGGACCTACCGCAGGTAGCTTCACACGGCCCTCCTGGAAGGAGCACGTCTTGGGGTCGTGGGTGCATACGTGCCGGTATTTACACCAGTGGCAGCGGTATGGGCTCTCCACGCAGGACAGGCACCTGGGCACAGAGGAAGAGAGGCACAGATCACAGAACTGGGTGGACCCCAAGCACTGGGCCTACTAAAATATGAATATTCAAAGAAACCACCCTCAAACACAAGACAGGCACCAGCTCCTTGGCTAAGGTATAATTAGCTGTTTTGGGTCTTTCTCCCATGAACCTCAATGCTGATGTGTATGGGACAGTCCTGGCATCTTGTATTATACCTCACTATTAGTTATCTAGCTCTTCCATAAGTGCACTAGACTACACACTCCTGGAGGGCAGGGATTGAGTCCAAGAATTTTATTAATTTTGATCCTTTTATATCTAATGAGCAACAGATTGTTTTGCTCAAAGCAGTCCTTAAAATCATTTAGTAGATGGAATAGAAGCATCACACATGATTTCATCTACCTACTCTGCTTTCCTAGGTGTAAGAGTGGATGGAAAGATTAGACAACCAAGAAGTAAAGCTCCAGGAAGCTCCATGCCATGAAGCCAGAAGAGGATCCCTAGAGTGCAAGCAACTTTCTGCCTGCGAGGGCTGGACACCTCCTTCCATAGGGCTCCAAAGAAAGCAAAGCTTTGGACTCACAGCTTCCCCAGCCAGACTAACAGTCCTAAAGTTCTACCAGTGACCTGTCCTACGTGGAGAGGAACACAAAACAGTATGTTAAAGCAAGAATGGCATGGAGAGGTTCCCAAACTGTGCTCTGTGGGACACTAGGGATTTCATGGAGCTCCTTTGGAGAATGTGCAAGGAATTGTGTGGAGGTCCTAGAGAGAGGGGTTCCAGGCCTCCTCCACCTTCTTCCAAGTGGCTTTTACTTTCTTCTTCTTTCTATGTTGGGCTTCCACACCTAATTGCAGTTGAATAAAAGGTTTCTAGGCTGGAAAAAAAAAAGCCCTTGTATATCAACAGTGTAGTGCACCCCATCATGTTATAAAGGAAATACTAAGTTAATAAGACCAAAAGATGAGCAGTGCTTGACCTGTGGATCAGGCAGGGCTCTAATGTCGTTCTGTGTCCTGGCTCTTTCACCCTTCATAGCTTCTAGCAAGAGAAGTAGGGCTGCCATGCGGGGATGTCAACCAGCATTGTGTCCCAGCTCATGGTTGCTCTGATGGGACAGTGTCTGGGCAATGTCAGTTGCTAAATCTTTGAGTACTAGCTTGGAAAGAGTATCTTAATTGCCTCTTAATGGAGGATACCAGAGCACAAAATTACGTTTCCTAGCTATAGTGACTCCACAACCTGACCCTCTGCCCCCCATGCCTGCTGTTAGAAAGAAAATGCTTAAGTCAAACAAACCCGGAGATCCAGAGCCAGGCTTCCTGACCTTCCCTGCATACCTCTGGCTCCCTCTGGCCTTCACTAGCCTGTGTCCTGACCTGGCCTGCAGGGCCCTGTGGGAGGGGAGCATTCAGGTGAGTCACGAGGGCACTTGTCCTTCCTGGACACACATGGGAGTTTTCTTATTCCTCGGGGCCCTCCTCTGAGCATGGTGCTAGCTGCTCTGTGCTTTGCATGAGATGCACCTCTAACAGATGGTAGAATACAATCAAATTAGACAGATCTATGTCGTAGAAGATGCATGAGCCAGGGATTTGGAGAGCCCACCCCACAGTTCTCACTCTTGCTCCTTCTAGTCTCCACTAACCCTGCAGGTACTAAAGGCAAAACACCTATCTCCTTCTGGGGAAAATGCGGCCTCCACTGTAACTCCACAGAACTGTGGTGGGGTCTTCTCATCTGCACAAACTTGGGCCTGGCAGTAGGGAGCTGAGTGAGGCTGGCACACTTACGAATTATGGACACTGCAGTTGTAGAAGATGAAGCTGGTGCTAGCAAAGGTCATACCCGTCTCTTTGGACTTGAGTTGCAGCTGTACAACATGGTGGTCCCCTACAAAGAAGAGCCAAAGAGATTAGGGTACCACTGGCAGGCATGTACCCTGGGCATAGGGAGCCTGCCCCCTGCTGTGTCATTACTCTCACAGCTCACCCAGCCGGAGGGCAACCCCCAAAGCACAAGTAGAATGCTGTTTGAGTGTATTCTCCCTTCAACACTTTAGCACTTGCTGGTCCCAAGTGCTGGTCCCAACCCCTCCCCCACACAATGTACACACAGAGAGGCAGGTATTCAAACGTTCATCACATATACCATGTCCTTCCCAGCTTCATAGAATCACACACACACACACACACACACACACACATACACACTGATGAGCAACCAGTAAAGACAACACACCACCTCACAGGATGGCTGCCACAGCTACATAGTGATTTTGTAGATATGTACAAGTGAGCTCATTTCCCATCTCTGTGAAGAGAGAACAGTTCTGATGCCACCTCCTCCCAGGAACCCAGGGCTTTATGGGGCAGGAGGCACCAGAATCCTCAGCTGATGCAAAACCAGAGCTAGAGCCCATGTTTAATTCACAGCCCTGACCCCAGACCCCGACTTCTAGCCTTGTTCTCTGCCTTCTCTGAGAGTCTCATTAATCAGTCAGCTCCAAACAAATGTGACAAGCCCAAATGGGAGGGACAATAAGGAATCAATCTGCCCAGGCGAGCCAGGGCCTAGCCAGAGTTGAGCCTCTGTCCTGTCCCATCTTTCCCAGGGCAGCTTGACACAAAAAACAGGCAGCTGTAGGAAGGTGAGGGAGGGTAGGTGGGGGCAGGTCCAGGTCAGAGAACCAACCACGTGAGCACAGGGCTACAGGCCCAGTTGTCCCTTATCCTCCCATCCTGGCCCCCAACTGCCTTCCTTCTTTTGAGGCCTTTTCAGGCCACCCAAAGTGGGCTCTGCTGCTGTCCCAGCCATGCCTCCACTCACCTTCTCTGAAGCTGCTCCTTGTCTGGGATGCAGTGGATTCTTGTATGCTAACTTGGGAGTAAGATAGAAGGCTTACAACAGCAAATTCCAAGGGCAAAGCAGGAAGACTTCACCCTTCTCTTCCTGTATGTAACACCTCACCAACTCACTTCTTCCTTTGAGACAGCCCTGCCTATGGGCTCCCTCAGTCCCCACATATCGCTGGTGAGTTCTTCTATTCAGGCAGGACGGAGAGCCTGCTCCTCAGCTTTGCCTCTGGGGAGGGAAGCACTCACCATTTTCTGTGATGATCCGGGGCACCTCCTTCGCCGCTGGTGAGTAGCAGTGGATCTGATTGCCTACCACCAGCCCATCCATCTCTGACAGGTCCTCAAAGGTACAGTTGACACCTGCTGACAGCTCTGGGACATTGTACGTCTCCAGGACCAGCTGTGAACAGCCAGGCAAGAAAGAGAGAGGAGGAGTACCAAATGGAGAAAGGAAAGGTATGGAATAAAGGAAAAAGGAGTGCAAGAAAAAGAAGACAAAGGAGAGGAAACATTAACACAAAGAAGGAGAGATCAGTTTTGTTACAAGAGCAGTGTGGAGGAGGTGGTGGCATGGAAAGAGAGGCAAAAGTAATCTTGGGATCTGAATGCATTTGGCCACAGCAAATGGGAATGCTTATGGGATTTGTGTGATAAGAGCACACAGTGCAGGATCTCATCCATTAGTCCTAATTCTGGAAAAACCACACCACCAATCACTAAATGCCCAGTGCTAGAACTTGGAAGGCATCTGTACCCCTTTCTTCATCTGTACATGCATTCTTCCCCTTTTTTATTTTATTTTAAAGAGAGTAGTAAACGAGAAACAAACAAAGAAATAGAACAGTAGCAGCACACCAGTATCACAAACATAAACAAATCAAAGTGAGAACATTCAAAGTGATACAGAGTCTCAAGACAAAATAATACAAATCAACAGTTGTTACATTACACATTGCTATCCTCAACTACATTGCTCAGATTACCAGATGTAAGAATGAAAGATTGCTCAAACCATTATAGGGAATAAGAAAATAATGTTCCCCTTTATTAGATAAAGATACCATTCCTAGCACCCTTCGCCATCCTATTGATCATTTTTCGTAGAACCATTTTCCTTATTTTTCTATGCATTATGAGTAGAGCCTCTTTACCCATATTCTTATTCATGTCCCTTTCTTGGGTCTCTACTGCACAGCTACTCGGACCATCCCTGCCCTGATTTAGAGCTGTTCTTCCTGTGAAACTTGGCCCAGCCCTCCTGACGTCTTGATGCCTTTTGGTGAGAATTCTTCCTCCTGGATCCCGCCCCACTCACCAGCACGTTGTACTGAGAGACGGAGATGTTGTTGGGATGAACTGTCAGCCGGACACACTGCTTCATCTCTGAGGCAAACCTGCGGGATTCCCTGGATCGCTCACACCGTTCCTTCCGGGTACACCTGGGAGGGGCATACTGATGGATTACTCAGGAGATGATCACTTGGTCCAGGCAGGGACCAACGCTGAGGTCAGGCAATTCTAGGAGCTCTCAGGATGTGTCCACACTCAACATGCCCAGCCCTAACCACTTTGTTTCCTTCCTCAAATCCCCCTCCTCCATGCCCAAGTTTGGAAAAGATGGCCATTCCTCTCATCATTCGTGCAATGCAAACATTGGAGAGTCACTCTAAACTCCGCTCCTGACCTTCAAATTCAGACCAGGAGTTGGTCACCTGTCTATTCTACCTCACCAGGCATCCTCCGCTGTGGCTACCTTTCTCCCCTCTTCAGCAAACTGAGATGAACTCTTTTGTGCCTTCAGGAGGTGGGACAAAAAAAATACAGTGAATGCCCTTGCCAAATGGCAGGCTTGTAAAAATATTGCAGTTGTCTTCACCCATTTTATCCACCAGATCTGGCAACATGTGACTGCTATCTCTTCCCCCAAATCTAAGTGCCTATGAAAGGTAAATATTTTGAATCAATTCAGGACACTGAGTCAGACATGAAGCTCAACTATGTAGACACTCATAAAAAAGGACTTCCAGAGCTGCTTCAGAAAGTGGCAAGAATAATGGGATAAATATGTTTGACATGAGTGGAAGTATTTTGAGGGAGATTTAAGGCAACTTGTCTTTTACTGTAACAATTTCTTTATTTAAACACACATTAGATTTTTCAATCAGACTAGATTTTCCAGACTTCTTCCTTGCCTTTGCACATGTCAGTTCAGTTCTTCTGTTTGGACTTCCCCACCTTCCCTAGCAGACAGAAGATAAATGCGAGTGGGCAGGAGAGAGGGCAGAAAGGATCAAAGGAGGGAGAACAGTAGAGCATACTCCACATGGGAATCCCAGTTGTGTGCCACCGGGGAACTGCTATATAGGTTTGTCATTATTGTTTAATGCTCTGTGTAGTACAAAGTGTACCATTCCAGTGTGACCTGGGACCTTACAGTCCTCACTGATGAGGGCTTATGAAAGATACACATAAAAAATGGGCCGTGCCCAAATGCATCCATCCCATGAGTTCACTGCATGGAGGTATCTGAGTTTCAGGAATGGTATTTAATGTGAGTCAGATAAGTCTTGTGCAGACAGAGCTTTACAGAGTGTCTGTGATTGGGGAGGTCTTCACTAGTGATTCTCCTGCGGAATGAGGATAAGCCAGAGGGACGAACTGCGATAAGGTGGAACCGTGGAGAAATCACCCCTCGGTTTCTCTTTTGGTCAAAGAGAAAAGGAAAATATGAAGAGCTGTTGTGGGGTAGGAGAAAGTCCTGGCAGAAGTCCTGGCACACCTGCTTGGTAGGAAATAGAGCAGTCAGGGATAGAAGCCCCCACAGGGTGGATGTGCACTGGGAGGGCACATCTGTCTCAAAAGGCAGACAGGTGTGTCGGCCAAAGAGATGATGGAAAGAGCCCCCTGGACACCCTGAGTGACTCTTAGGGTTGCTGTCAGGGCCAGAGGAAACTGTGGGGGTCTATTGTCCCAGCCATGGGAAAGAAGGCAGACACCTTTGCCCACAGCAGTAGGAAAACATGGGGGGCCTGGCTGAGAGGAGAATTTGACTACCAAAGGGAAGCTAATGAAGGCAATGTACTAAGCCTTCTATACTAAGGAGGAGGCACAAAGGAGACAGAGACAAAAAGGAGGACCTTCGAGGAGGCTGGGTGTGTAATGCAAAAGTAAAGAAGCAGTCCTGAGCAGTGCAATGGCGGCCACTAGTTGTGAATGGTTTACAAGGCACTGTGATTAGGGCTTTACATCTTCCGCCACTTCAATCTGGTGACAATGCCTTGACAAATCCTCCTTAGAGGTCAAGAAACTGCAGAAGATGATGGCTAAGTAACCTACTTAGGTCACCGGCTAATCAGAGACAGTATCAGATACAGGAATGCAGAGTCTCTATTCCTTCCCACTGTGCGCAAGCCCCCTGAAGCTTCTAGATGTTAAAGTGAGGGATGGACCCTCTTGATGCAGACTAAACCCATTTTCTTTACCATCTGAATGCTGCTATCATGTCCTTATGGCAATTTAAACATCTCCCCTCCATCTTTTTCTCTTGGCTAATGGCTTTTCCTGCTGTCCCCTGGAAAGCACCTCAAATATCACTGCAACTTGCAGAACGGAGCTGAACCCTCTACAGGGCTTCCAAGAGACCCCAACACACAAGGAAAAAGTCAGATGTGAGTCTGGCTATCCTGTGGCACTCCCTGGATGCTCTAGCAGTCGGATGGCAAAGAAGTGTCTGCCTCAAAGTCTTGGGAGTTAATCTACCAGGCCAGCTCTTCTGCGAGGACTCCATTACCTTCAGCCATTAAGCTAATGTTATGGACTTTTCCAGAGTGTCTGCACTGACATGGCTATTAATAGCGTTATTACTCCCATTAACAGCAGACCCAGAGAGCTGGTGTGGGCTTGAATTATTCACTGACTCCCCAACTTTGAAGTTTCTGTTTCTAAGAGCAATCAGTAGGTCTGAAAAGTGTCTTTGATTAAATTATGGAGAGAGGAAAATGGAGCTGCTACTAGGCCAAACATCACTTGGAGTTACCAAAGAGAGATTCAGACAGAAAAGAGAGGAGTGCTTCTCTCTTTCAGGGTGGAGGGGAACAAAGCTATCGTAGGACAAGTTTGATCTGTATTATTTGCTGCTTCCTAAGTTCATAGAGTGGCATCCTGCCAGTTCTGGAGAGAACTAAACTAAGCATCACCTTGCCCCCAAATATAGGGAAACCATGTATAATTTACAATTTTAAACACTCCATCTAAGTGTAATGTTGTGCTAACAAACTACTTAGCCTCTTGTTTCACCCATATTCTCATCTATAAAATAGGGACAAAATAGTATCTACCTAGTATGGTTTTTAGTAGATTAAATGACATTATGAGAGCAAAACATTTAGAGCAGGAAATAGCTCAAAATAAGGGCTCAATAAATATTAGCTTATATTATTAGCCTATTTCTTCTCTGCCTTCCCCATCCAACCCCTCCAAACTGTAACTGCTATGGAAGCACCAGTCTTCTTGTAGATCAGCTCAGGGGGAAAATCAAAGGAAGAGAAGGATGCAGCAGTTCTCCTCATAACAAGGGAGGAGGGCAACCCAGTGGCCAGGAGGGAGGAAAGAGGGAGAAAGAAGAATAGGTTGTAGCTTTGTTTTCTTAATAGCTGTCAAACGGTATTGAGGACTCAGCTATCTTAGTGTAAAGTCAAATTTAAGGTCAGAGCCATGGACGTTTTGACATTTCTTCTACCCTTCAGGGCCCAGGAGGGTGGAGACTGCAAATGTCCAAAAGCACAGACAATTGACCTTAAATGTGATAGGATAATGGAGGGGTAGAATGCATTCCTTCTGAAGTCTTATGGGGTCTGTCAAGGAAATGGTCTTTTGCTCTTTCAGGACTGTGATTTCTGTGATTTCCCATTAGCCCAGACTAGAGCCGGGAAATGTTCAAAGGGTTAATTCATGACTCCTAGAGGGGATATACTAGGATGTTCCTTTTAAAGGGGCCCAGGTTCTTTTAACAGCAGTTCCCCTCTGCCCTCATTTTCATTGTAAGGGCACTCTTGAGGTAGAAAAGAGACCATACTTCATCCAGTCCCCAGCTTACATGGGCAGAGAAAATGCATACTACGTGACTTCAAATTTTCCAGACAATTGTCACTGCCATTGTTATTGTCACTCCCAAACACAGATCTGCCGTTGGCCAGCAGGAAGCAGGTCCCAAGGAGATACACCAGCCCCATAAGTTAGAGATCTTTGCTACTGGGCTCTTCTTTCCTCCCTCTGTCACTTCACTTTCTCTGTTCAGCAGCCCCTCAGGCCCAGATCAGAGGGAAACCAGCTAGCAGCCCTTGGGGAGAAAGACTCAGGGTCCCTGGAAGGGGTTATTATTCAAGCCAGTGGTTCCAATGAGATTATCCTCTCTAATGAAGCAGCTACCTCCGCCCACCCCTAAGCCTGAACTTTCACTGCTGGAGAATTCCCAGCCAAGTGGAAAATTAGACGGGAGAGGAATGGAGAAAGGAAGGGGATGAGGGAGAAGGAGAGAGGTAGTGATTAAGTTCAGTAGAAATTAATTCCTAAATACAGAGATACAAATATTAGCTCCTAGTGCTGCTGGCAAGGCAAACAAATTTAGCCATGGAAATGAGGTTCTCTGTGAGGCTGGCCTGAGTGAGCATCCATGCTAGAGGGGCCATTGCTGGTCCATCTGCCCAGCTCTCCAGCATAGGCCCACTGGGAGTGAATATCAGAACTTGCTCCCTCCTCTCCCACAGAGGATCCCTAATTCTAAACCCTTCACACTGGCCATGGCTTTTGCTGAAGGTGCACCATTGGGGAATCTGTGTTTGGGACACACAGACACTGAAAAAGAATAGATGCGGGTGAGGGGACCTTCCCAAGTGGCCCTTGCTATAGTTTAGATCTTGAATGTTCCCTAAAGACTCAAGTGGCACTGTTTGGAGGTGGTGGACCATTTAGGAAATGGGATCCAGTAGAAGGAAGTTAGATTGTTGGGGATATGTGTCTTTGAGGGAGATATTGGAACTCAGGGTCCTTCTTAGTTTTCTCTTTCTTCCTTCCTGCCATGAGGTGAACAGGGTTCTCTACCACAAGTTCCCAGCAGAGTGTTATGTGCTACCACAAGCCCAAAGCAACAGGACCAAGCAGCCATGGACTGAAACCTCTCAAACTTTGAGCCAAAGTAATTCCTTCCTTCTTTTAAGTTGACTATCTCAGGTATTTTGTTATAGTGACATAAAGCTGACTAACATCAGAGGCCTGACAGAAAAGTTAAGAGTTTAGAAAGACTGCTCTCAATTAGGAGATCATGGGAGACACTTTGGTCATTGCTATCACATCTGGGGCCTCTGAAAAGGGACAAGACCATGTTTTCCAATTGTTCCCTTGCCTTCTTCAGGAATACCCACAAACAAGGGTACACACATCT